AGGCCTTCTGTAGTGAATCGATGCGTTTTTGTAAGAAAAATATCCATATTCAAAACGTAATAATCACTTTAATTAACCCGCACCCCACGGGCGGGCCGGAAGTGCGTGTTTAGGCGTGTCTGTGCTTTTAATTGTCTTTGTTTTAAAACAATATTCAATCAACTATCATAAACTATATATCATTTGACAGCTAAAACACTCAAGATCCATGTTCTGAATGCTCAAAAACAGGGGCGCACAGTAAGTGGTTAATGTAGCTTGCGCTCACTGTTGTACACAGAAGCAGTTCCAAGAGCATGACGTATGAGGTCAGCGCTGCGCATGCGCGGTGAGTCTCGTGAAAACCAAAGTTTGTTTACAGGATCAAAGGAAGCAAAGTTTCCTTACTTTAGCAAAGGAAAACCAGTCTCCTCTTGGCTTATATCTGAACTAACCCTTTAAGGTAACTTTCTTCAAATAAGTTTTTCCATCTAGCTTGCGTCCATCTTGCAGCTTTATTTTAATTAACAAAAACATTTTTTTGTTTTGTTTTAGTTAACAACAACACTGCTATTAAAGTTACTTTGTAATAAAACTTACACATTAGACACATTAATATTATTAGCATTTATTTTAAATGTGTATATTTTGTGATATCTTAATTTCTTTAAAAAATCTTACTGACCTCAAACTTCATTATATTAAATATTAATTTAGGAAATATTAAATAATGTAATATCAGTGTAATATTTTAACCATATGTTACAATAAAAAATGAGCAACTACTGATAAACTGCTCTGCTAGCTGATAATTTAAGTAAGAAATCTAACATTTTTGCAAAGTGAATGACCAAATTCAAATTGGTTGAAGTTTTGTTATTGAGGGAACTCAATCCTTTGTGTATATTCAGAAGGTGTTCTGGCAACATTTTTGCTTGTTTGGTCATAATGTTGCAGGTTAAGCTCAGGGCAGGAAGTACTGATCATAAATCAGTGGGATATCACAGACTGGAGTCAGTTACTCTAGTCCAGGCCAGCCAGCGACTCAGACCCCCCAGCAAGCGGATCAGACTCGGAGCACATTTCATCTCAACAACACTGAGAAAGAGAGAGAAATAAGGAAAGAGTACAAGAGAAACTCATATGGCCGAAACGACTCAATCAGATCATAGATATGAAACTGCAGCCGAAGGATTTCTGAAGAATTGTGAGGTAACCAAATAAAAAAGGAGGACAACTGGAGCTTAGGACTGTGAGAAAGGAGAAAGGAAAATAAACTGAGAAGTATGAATGTAAAATATAAAGACTATATGCTAAAGAAATGCATGTGGCCAAGTAGGAACTAGGAAGTAGGACAAAAACATGAAAATGTAGATTTTTTTCATGTACTTTCATTGGGAACTTTGAAAATGTTGTTTACATTTCTGTGCATGTGTAAATTAATAATTTGCATAGTAATGCATTTTTGGACATTATCGCCATGCCTTGAATGTGTCAACGTGTTTATTTGTGTGTGTGAGCGAGAGCATGTTAATGAGCGGTCTTCTCTTATCTTCTCTCTTGGGTGTGTTGTTTGTAGCTGTTGTACGTCACCCATCCCTGGCACTTCAGACCAGACCATCTCTCACTGTCTCCTCATCTCCACAGCGGCCAGACGGCTGTGAGGCCACTGGATGGAGGGAGTGCAATGAGCTGTCTTTTTTCTAATGAATAGCGCTGATATCCTGTGAGTGACCTGTCAGATGTGACAGGCGAGACGTGAGGGATTGTTCAAAGGTAAAGTTTTAAATGGCATGCAGAAATGTATCTAAAGGAGACAGACACCAGAGAGGCATGGCTATCATGGGATAGCGGGACAGTATAGACTTATCTCTGTAATGAGAATAGAGAAAGAAAGAGGGGGTGGAATCCCAAAGGGTTTCTCTGGTCAAGAAGATAAGGGACATCAATGTTGTTGTGCATGCATTTTACAGCATGGAAGGCTTATTGTTAAAAATGTTTCCCTTTTGTAGCTCATGAGACTTTGTCTCAGATGTTTCTACTAAAATGCTTGAGACTAATGAGATAATTGATGACAGTTGTGAACTGGATGTGGATATGACATAGCCCATTTAATTTGAAAAAATAATTGACAAGAAATGCTAAGATTTTTTGGGAATGCTTGGGGGCTAGCGGGGAACAGATCGAAAAACTGCTCTCAAAAACAATCATATAATAATCAATAAAAAATAATTATAAGTAAATATATAAAGTTTATATAGTCAAGGGCAGCAATACTTCAACAAAGTTGTTTCTGCCTCAAAGTAAAAAATGAAAGGGTAATTGTGAGATTAAAAATTATAAGGAAAAAGTGGTCACAAATCAATTGTGAGTTGCATTCAAAACTGCATGTTGTTTTTTTTTTTAAGTAGGCCTAATTGCATCCATATGAATGTTGTGAATATAATCTGGACTTACTACATTTACATTTATATTTTAGTCATTTAGCAGACGCTTTTATCCAAAGCAACTTACAAATGAGAAAAAAAACATTTGTCATGTTACTTTCACATGACCTATCAGCTTCAGTTGCATCACTTTGTTGCCACTCACAACTCCTCTCCCATGGCCTCATGGGGTAGTAAAGTGTCCATCAGATGCGCACTCTGAAATTTCGGCGGACGTAATAGGTCAGTCATCCACCTACTGTTTTGTGAATGCTGTAAAAACTGGTCTACTCTTTTCACATACTGTCACCTACTATGTAGGGAAGTGCGTATTCACATGCAGGTAGTCATGTTGTAAGATATAAAGTTGCAATTAGCCTACCTTGTTATTCTGGGCTTCCGTAAATAGGCCTACTTGACAGCACAATAAACTGAAATGTTCTCTAAGTTGCTTCATTCAACATCAGAGTACATTCACCAGCTCCCACAGAAATCTTGTAAATACCCAAACATAAGTTTTTCATGTCTGTTCTCAATTATGCCATCATTTTATCCCTATGACTAAAGACTTAACCATGCATGTCAGGGCTAGCTTTAAAAAACAGCCATTAAAAACACAATTAAACATTAATTTGCGGTTGGTGTGGAGGTACTACAAAGAAGTAGCATTTTTAGGCATTTAGTTGCATTCCAGAACACCGGAAGTTCCACTCAGCCGAAGCGTTTTTCTCACTCATCGCGTTTTATAATATGCTATGTAGCTCTACCCCAAAATATGATGCTCTCAAACTGCCTAATTCAACAGTAGCCTGTCCTATTTTTGGAGACAGTTCATTGGAGATGCTACGCGAAAACAAAGGTATATTATATACAATGCGCATTCATTAGTGGTTAAACTGAAAGAGGATTGTTGAGGCGACAAAAGCTGCATTGTGACCGCGGCAGGTCCTCTCTATAGGTTACATCCTCCACGGCTCATCTTTCCGACACTATGAAACAGAAACCTTACAATATCTGGCTTAACATACAGCTTTGTGTAAAGTGTTAATTACACAGGTGTTAAAGAATGTGTAGCCGATTAAATAGACCACTTTCATTACTGTCATTATCCTACTTAATATGCAGTAGGTTGTTCTAAATTATAATTATTTGTTATTGAGATGTATTAATTGAAACAAAATGTTGTTGAGTATGACAGTGATTTGAGAAAACAAAAAGTGTCATCTGTTTTGTAAAGTTGGGCAAATACTACCAGGTAAACTCAGTATATGTGTCTATAAGTGGGATAGGGAAAGCGAAAATAAAAATATTTCAATTAGCTTGTGTGAGAAACTGACGCTTCTCCAATTACCACGTATTACTTCATTCATTATCAATGTTTGTTCCTCATATTTACCGATAGGGGGCAATATGTGCCACACAATGAACTTGCTTACTAAACTGAGTCCCTTCACTGTCATCTGTCTTTTGAGATCATCCTTTAGTGAATAGTTCACAATACAGTGAATAAAAATATAACGTTTATTAGGGGTATAGAACTATATTTAAGCGCTCATTAATTGCATTTAATTGTTTTGTGGAGGGGGGAAAAACTTGAGGCAACAATTAATGGACTTGTATACTTTACTTGTAGGCCTGTCTCTCTTTAATGCTTTTCTAAGTCTCTCTTCTTCTTTTCTTTCTGTTTAATTACCCTCCTAACACCCCCACGTCAGGGTCAAGAGTCTCTCCCTTTTTCTTTCGCTCTTTACCTTCTAATCTGTTCATCATTATAGTCTTTTTTGCCAGCCCCCACGTACTCTAAAGCAATTTAATGTTGTGAACTGTCTCAAAGTATGTCTTTGACACAACTGTCTACATTTTGTCTGGGAAGACCGCATGCGTTTGCAGTGTTATTCTATTTTCCAGAATGATTCCTCCTTTCTTTTTATATTCTTGTGAGTCTTATGCACATTATTGTCTCTCTGAGTGTGAGAACGGAGAGATAAATGGGACGTGAACTTATTTACAGTATAGTACTTTTGTAATTAGATAAACAGGCCTCTAATTTTAATATAATAGAAGCCCTGACAGTAGAAACCCACACAGCATTCATTGCTGGTATCAATCAGTCATGAAACATATCAAAGCGCCTGGTGTCTGTGATATAAGAGCAAGTCCTTTGCTTCACTGTTGCCATTGAATTCATTTTTGGATTTTGAGTATGATTTATTTCACAGCACATGGAAAAAAGGGAACTGAGCCCTGGGATAAAACAGTTCAGACAATGAGCCTCACATGTTGCTTTTGTATGTGATCTAGGTTTTTTTTTTGTTTTGTGTAAGGTAAATGGAGATTTGACATTTGTCTGGGTGAGCGAGCAGAGGCCACAGGACTCACCTCTCCACCTCACACACACACACACACATGCTTCAGCAGATTATGACCGCTAATCTCACTTTATGGCACGCTGCTTCAGGCCAAACACTCTCACATTCACTTTCTCTCTGATCTCTCATTCTTCTTCTGTTGCTGCTATACACACATACAGCTGGAAGCTGGCCAGGCATCATATCACTGTCAGTTCAGCTGAACAGAGTGAATGAATTCAAGATGAAAATTCTGTGGGCATAATAACAGTATCAACAACTCATATAGATAAAAATGACAGTTGACACTTTTGTGGTATACAGTGGCTCCAGAAGTATCTTGACATTAAAATATATATGAATGCCATAGCATTAGATAATAGAATGGGAAGATAGCACAAGCACACTTTTCTAACAAAACATTTCAATTAATGTGTTTTTAAAATATTTTGATTAAAAAAAACAATATATAGTATTTATTTTTTTATTCGTTCATTAATTCCACTCAGTTGATATTTTGTTTGCTAATGCACTGAAATTCATACATTTTCAAGTGTGTATTTTCATTTACATTTTCAAGTGTAAATAATAATTAATCAAATAAATAAATTAAAAAGGTAATTAAGACTTTGACATTTTTGTTTTAAAATAATTTTTTTTGCCCAGATTACAGCGATACCAATAAAAAAGTAAATAGTGAAATTTTATATGTACAAAGAAAGATCGTATTACTTTTTTAGTTTTTTTGCATTTTCATTTACAATTTTAACTGTAAATAACTTCTTTTTTTTTTTTTGGCCACTTTGTTTGGATTTCTAATGCAGTTAAATTCATGCATTTCCAAGTGTCAATTACATTTTCAAGTTTAAATAACATTTAAAAGGCTTGTTAGTGCCTAAAGTGTACCCACTTTTGAAGCTTTACTGCCCTGTCACAGTTTTGTACCTTTTTTGAGTGTGTGTATGTATGTATATACAATGGTTTTGCTGCTGATACCACAAAGTGCTGATTGTCACTGTTTCTTCTCACAGTGATGAGAAGCATAAATCAGAGAAACTGTGGACTGAGTATTTTTTTCTTTTTACTGTGGTTCTTGTTTTTTGCACCTCTGAAGTGGCTTTGAAAAAGGGTTTGCCTTTTGTGTCATCAAATGTGATTCTAACATTTTTTCTTCTAACCCTCAGACACTAAAAAAAGCAACAACACAAAAGCCTGAGCTTCAAGAGCATCTCCAGACCACAACAAAACAGCAGTAAGTGCACACACATATATTTAAAACTTAAATGCTGACATATACATTGAGAATCACAGTCACTGCTTACTATAGAGTGCCAAGCTCCCTAACACATATGTGCCAAAACTGTTAATGATTCGGGACACATCACACAAGCCCACACATTGCTTTCAAGCACGCTGATCAGAAACAGGCCTTTCTTACACAGACATATAGAGGCATGGACACAAATAAATCAAAGATCAGGCCTCATTCTGCATTCCCTTAATGTGAATCAGCATTGAAGAATTTAACCACTAGACTGTTAAAGTGAAAAGTGAGAACAAATATTCAAAACATTAATCATGAAAACATGAATGAATCTTGGAAGTATTTTTTTGCACTATGATTACAGTTTCAGAAATTTGACAATTTAATATTTTATTTCATTTTTATGTAATTTTTAAGCAATCTTCAGAGATGCACAATATATCTACAGCATTTCAGTCAATGTTGTTGTTGTTTTTATTTTGCATTCTCATTTCCCCTGTTTTTTTTTACATTTAGATTACATTTGTTGCTCTCTTAAAGGGGTCATAGGATGCCCATTATCCACAAGTTGATATGATTCTTTAGGGTCTTAATGAAAAGTCTGTAACATAGTTTGGTTAAAATTTCTCAATGGTAGTGTAAAAACACCTTTTTTACCCTGTCAAAAACAGCTCTTTTCAGATCAAGCTGTTTCTGTAGCATTTTCCTTTAAATGTTAATGAGCTCTGCTGACCCCGCCCCTCTTCCGAGCTCATTAACTGAGAGACCTGCTCTCAGAGAGACTGTTTACTTTAGCCGCATTCATTGTGAAACTTGCTAATTAGCACATTATTAGGAAAGGCGATTTGCAAAGATTCATTACAAAACATTATACTCACTTCTTCTGTAGATGAGGCTGGATCATGAATGATTCACGCAAACATAGACGCATTTATGTAGAAACAAATAATTTACTGCGAGTTCAGCGGCTCAGATGTCGGGAGTAAATGAGGACTGCTGTGTTCATTATTACATCCAACAACAGAACACCTCAATCGCTTAGGAGTCATTCTTGTCTACATCTGCTCCAGCGGTGAAACAATGGCGGACTGATGACAGCTCACTCAGGGCGGGTCTAAGGTAAGACACCAGTCCAGTAGTGCTAGGCCGTATGACCAAAAATTTATATCACGGTATTTTTCAAAATTATACTGGTTTCACGGTACATGACGGTATTTTTTTTTCATGCATGACCGGGTGTTAACCATATTTTCTACTGA